CACACACACACACACACACACACACACACACACACACACACACACACACACACACACACACACACACACACACACACAAATTACTCTGTGCCACTCCACCTTCAGAGATCAAATATGAATTTTCCTTTTGAGTCTTTCTCAACTTGAATTTCCACCGGCTTGTCCATCAGATTACAAAAAAAAAAAAAAAAACTATTAATTTCATGAAGTGCCATCCATCTAGTCATGTTCTGCTGCTCATCCATGATTGGGTCACAAAAGAAACAAGCTCAGGAGGGAAATCTGAGACATCCCTCTCCCAATCAACACATCCTCCTGCAGAATCCCAAGCGGCTCCCAGAGCAGAGAGGATATAAAAACCTTCAAGTAAATACTGGATCTGCCGAYGTCTGAAGCACCTCAGCTGACTCTTTGTGATTCCAATAGACAACCTTTTTTTAAGGCTTCGCTACAAACGCCCATGACCCAGTTAGGGATTCCACCAGGTTGACAATCTGGTCCACAACATTTCAGAACAATAAAATATAAAACACAAAAAAATGTTTGAGTTTTTGCTACTTCTTCAACGTTTGATACCGTAAGAAATTTTGTTGATCTAAATTGAATCTTAAATGCATTTCACACTTGAATGCATGACATGTTTAGAATGTTGTTATAATCCCTGTGCAATCAGTTTAATTTTATACTGTGATTAAAATACTGTGATTAAGTTGTAAGAACAACAAGTTCCAAGGGACTATCTGGTTACACGCCTTGCACTGATACAACACAATCAAACACACTGTTTCCTCATCTAAGCTGTAGGACTTCCTTGTTTGTGAACTGGGTCACCCTGAGGTCCAGAGTACTTGGCCCGGCTACAAAAGGTTGTGGTAATCCCTGCATGTGCAGTTAAATACTCAAGTCTAACTTTAAATCAGCTTCTTGTGCATAATTCATTTTCTTTCAATACGTATTATTGTCTGCTACTAGCTTATTTTGTTTGCTTTGGTCTAATTTCCTAAACCATAAAGTCATCAGATGGCCTAACTGATTCTGTTAATCCATCGGTAAATCCAGATAAAAATGTGAAGCTTTTACTAAAATATGTAATTAATTAATTAATTCTGCACAGAGGTTTGGCACAAAAAGTAACACAGTCCCATTTAAATTTGTTGGGTTTGAAATCTTTGCGATGCAGTGTTGCAGCTGCCGGCTTAAATTGATGAATATTAATCGTTATCTGCAAGTTGCCTTTGGATACTTCCCTCACATTTGAATACTCTTAGCAAACGTGCAGATTTGCACACACTCAAATACTTAGTTTGACCCAAAAAAATAAGACAATCTGCATGAAAATTATCATTTGAAATTTGCCATTTCTCTTCCCGGTTCGCATGAATATTTTAGCTGGGTTAAAGCCACTCATCCATAAATCAGGAACTATGGTTTGCTCCTCTCCAAGCGCCTTCATGAAAAATTCACACATACAGGCAACATACATACAATGGTTTTGTTTTATTGTTGCAGCACAGACTCTTCCACATTTTGCACCATGTTGTACAGATCGGATTCTGTCCAGTGTGTGAACAATGGCACATGCAGTTGAGCAGAAGTGTTGGACGCCTACACAGCTTTAAAGCACAATGAAGCACAAAGTCACAACCTTTATTTTACTTCTCTGCCCAGATGGACCCTCACAGTTACAGTAGGAGGTCTTGATTTTTACTCAGTCTTCCTCAGCTTCTCCCTTAAATCTTCTTTCCTCTCTCTCTTTTTTTTGTGCTGGCTGTCTCTTGTCTTCGTTAGTCTGCCTCACACTGTAGTGAAACGCGTCCCGCTCTGATTCAGAACTCCACCACAGGCTGAATACATCAGCTCATCCACTGTGCATGCATATTTGTGTGTATGAGGGGACTGTGGAGCCAATTTTTTCATCATTTTATGATAGAAAAAAGACATTTGAAAATGAAAAGCAAGAGGGTTGTGCACTGAAATTTGCTCGTGACCTCCTCCCTGGCTGTTTGACAGAATGTGGAGAGCGTTTGGACAGGGGGGTCGTTGCAAAGCACTCAGCCGTCTATCGACTGGCAGCCATTGATCTGAAAAATCCAATGACTCACAAGCCGCTCAGAATGCAGCCCACATACATATCCACGAAGACGTGACTGCTGTGTGTGTAAACAAGTGCACATGCAGACACTGACTGATTAATGTAATTACAGTCCACAAATTAAATGAGTATAATTGGCGCAGAATATTTAAACAGAGATGTTGTTCTGGAGATTGCCGTTAACTGAGATTACTAACCCCTGTTCTCAAGCAGTAAATGAGAAAACGATGTTAGAAAATAAAGGTGAAATGAAAATACAGGCTTTGCATTTCTAAGTATAAGAAAACACCCAGCTGCTCTCGCCTTTAAACACAAATATGTGCACAAGAGTAATGGATTCAAGGCCTAGAGTTCCTCAAAGGAATGCCTGTTGCCCACCAACTTCCTGGAAAGAGTTTAAGACTGAGATCATCTTGTGTTGAGAAACACCAGATTTGTAGTCATGTTAGTCAAACCTTGAAAATGAGTCTGCACAACTCCATTCGTTGCAAGCTGTCATATTCAGAGTATGTGTTGACTCTCAGCAACTACCACATCAAATTTTAGCTCAACATCTGTAAGTGACTGAATTTTAGCCAATTTTGTGTGAGAAAAAGCTAATTTCTCCTACTTTTATAATAAAAATTCAAACTTGTAAACTTTGTGAGCATAGTCCCACAGATTTTAGCTTTAAAGCACTAAAATTTCTCATTTTTTTGATATCTGATAAAAATATTAACATAATTTTGTAAATGACCAAATTCATTATTTTCTTTCATTAGCTGTTTGCATGCTTTTTGATGAATGTGTTTTTTTCTTTCTCTTGATGTGGTTTTAATTGGTTGTTTTTTGAACGGTGTGGACAATTCTTTTTAAAATAATAATAATAATAATAATATCTGGATATGGGCACCAGTGACCCACGTGACCCTGAAAAGGAAGAAGCGTGTACAGAAAATGGATGGATGGATGGATGGATGTCTCATCAGCAAGTTCTTAGTTGGGTTCATTTTGCTCCTTTTATTATGTTGTTTTTTAAAAGAATGGCTTGAATAAAAGATAAATCCAAGAAAATAAACAATTAAGATCATTCTCATTTTCTTTGAAGAAAAAATCTCACCTTTTGGAAAAAGATTAAAAAGACTAAAAAGGTCACATTGTGAACAAAAAAGACATAAAGGTCCTAACTTCTACATGTTGCTTGATTTTACTCTAATTTAAACTTATCCACCTGTTTCTCAAAACGTTTCTTCTTTGTAATTCTGTTTTTCTTGTACCTTTTTGCAGTTTGTTGAAATTTGTTCTAATAAAAGTACTAAAACTGCTGAAGAGAGTCAACACGAGTCACCAAAGGATTGTTTTTATATTTTAAAAAAAAAATGCTTTATGTCCTTAATTTCCTTGCAGTCATTTTGTTCAACACACTGAATTAAAGTTGAGAGTCTGAACTTTAATTGTATCTAAAATGTTTTGTTCAAAATTCATTGTAGTAATGTCTAGAACCAAAATCAGGGAAAGTTTGTCTCTGTCCAAATAGATGTGGACCTTACTGTAACAAACCTTCAAAGTAGACCACCAAAAAAAATAAAATAAAGCAAAAGTGCACCCCTTGTTGGAAAGATTCATAACTACAAGTTATTGTTCTAAAGTATTTCCTGAAAGATCATAAAGATAAATATCAAAGCACTGAATATATCAGACAGTAGAGTAGGTCTGTTTAAACACATTGACTATCTTTACCAAACAAAGACAAGAATGAAGTGGGCTACGGACATGTTCACTGTTGAACACGAAGCATCCAAACCAGGAGCATTCTGAACATAGTGCAGACAAGGGGAAAGCATGTACAGATTGCTGAGGTTTTTAATTAATAATCATCAACACATTTATGTACAAAGCAAGCAATAATATCATGACCAAATAAAAGAAACAAATGAGGGGGGGAAAAAAGATTCCTAAAATGTACTTTTACATTTGTTTCTATCATTAAAATAGCTAAAGCTTACCTCAGGGAATTCTTCCAAAAGTTGTAATAAGTTGTTTTACAGAGTAATTAAAGATGACAACCTTCAACAATGACCTCTGAAACTTTAATGAACCTGGTTGGATGGATCCATTATTTAAACATCCTTCTGAAGAATATGAAAAATAAGACAAATTCTTTTTTTTAAATCAGAAAAAGCTGCCCCCTTATAATTTTTATAAAAGCACCAAATTTTCTTTGTTCTTCTACGAAAGGCCCTACCCAACTTTGAAACTGTGTTTATTCATCAGTAATATTTTAGGGCCTGTTTACGTTTCAGTTTTAAACAAGAATGATAATATAACTTTTAAGTTCTGTGGTTCATATACAATTCAGCAAAATTTTCCAATTTATCATTTTAGCTCTCTGCATTTCAGACCTGTTAGTATCCAGGACAAGACACTCATCAACCAGCTGCAACGTTCAAAAAATCCTCTTGGCCATTTTTGAGAAATTAATAAAAAGGTACCATTTCTTTGTTTCAGATGAAAACATTAATTAAACACATGGTGTAATATCAGGATGTTAAATTATGAATGAGATTTTTTTTGTTGTTTTTTTTAATCAAAAGCAAAGTCTATTCCAAATAAGTCAAACTATGCTTAAAAGAAAGAACAAATCCGGGCCAAAGATTAGCTTGGTGCTATAAAAAGAGGTAATGAATTCACACTCAGGGCTGTGCTGACTGAATTACTCATTTTTATAAAAGTTCTTCTCTTGCAGACAATACTCTGAAATGCCGTCTATCTTCTATATAATCAGATCCTGCTTCCCTCCTATGCTTCCGATCCTAATTTGTGTAACGATATCAACAGTAAGGATCTACTATCTCTGACTTCATCTGCGTTACTGGATCATAAAACTGGGGACTACAGATAACCGGGGGAGGGCTTGTTACAGAACAAGGACACCATCTTTACATGATACAATTTTCATGAAAGAATAGCAGGTAAAACTAAATTAAAGAAACTTAGAATGTATACAAAAACACGTGCCCCACAAGTTAGTTTGGTTTGCTTCCACGTTGGGGGTTTTACAGCCGTTTCTGTTCGGGTCAGCAGCAGCACTGGTGGGGTGGTGGTGAAATCCATTCATACAGACATACACGCACTAAAACTCGCTGTACTGTCGTAACGGTGCACACCTCAGCATGCCCCGTTTCCTCAGTGGTATCACAGGTGAAAGTCCACAAGTCTCACGCTCTCAAACAAACAATTAAACTGGAAGGGAGGGGAAGTGTGGGGCAGTGACCGCTGCCGGTGCTCCTACAGTTTAACAGCAACATCGAGGGAGCTCCTCTTCTCTGTCCGTCCATCTGGGTAACAGAGGGAACCGTGGGAAAGTCAGTCCAGCTTTTAAAGAATCCTACATTTTGCTCCAGTCCTTTGAGGAGAGCAGCTGTGAACAGAGACAATGGAAACACGTTAAACATCTCTATCAACTCTGTGGCTTATTTAATCGAAGAGAGTATCAGTTATTCACACAGAACATAATTGCTTCGCTTTAGAATTTAAATTGTTACCAAGACTAAAAGTAAAAACAGAAAGAACTTTAAAAACATTGAATAAGTGGTACATTTTGCAGACAACGTGACAAGCATGCACAACAGAATAGGTGTCTAGGACAAGTCTGTCTACCCTGCTTAGAGCTGAACTTTTATAGTTTTAAAATGTTCAGACAATATTGTTTCACTTCAGCACTGACCTTTGAGAACAACCCCGACATGCAGGTCTGAACAAAAGGTAAGTGAAATTAGACCGGGCGGAGCAACCACTGCGAATACTGAACAGGTTGACCGCATTTTAATGAGTTATTGATAAATGCCCCGACTAATCATAAATGATGAACGATGCAGAGGAGAGGAACGGATAACTGAAAGGGAGCGCCGGTGAGAGAACTAAGCTGAGGGAAAAATCCATAAAGGAAAATTGTTTAATACGTACACATGATTTGTTTATTTATTTCTCTACGAAAGGAGCTGAAAGTAATTTGGATGTTGACAAATGAAGCCGACTCCAAATTAAGAAACGTCAACACCCCATTTGAATCAATGATCAACAATTTAATAAGCTTAAAATTGAAAATCCACCTAAATGAGTGAATACCTGAAAGGTGGCACTCAAATGTGCCATGCTAACAAAAAACCCAAAACATGCTAAATCAGGACAAAGCCTGCGTCCAAAATAAAGAAAAGCACATGCTAGACTAAGAATTGTTTTATCAGAATACAGATATTAAACTTGTGTTGGTAACCCACCCAAATCAAATTAATGCAGTTTCTTTACTTTCATGTTGACCAAACATCTCGATTTAAATTTGATCGCTTTTTTTGAAAGTGTCAAATAAATGAAATAATATATTTTACCTCAAGAGCTCAGCTGTTTTAGCTTTCATCATCTGAGACATGGGGCTTAGCAACAGCCATTTCCTCCTTGCTGTTTGAAATCATCTTACATTTCTACAGAAACACACAAAAATAATATCAGTTAAAAAAAAACCAGCATCATAATTCAGAGATTAATTGTTTGGACAGAAACATTTTCCCTCCTCCTCCTCCTCCTCACATTCTGTGGAGGAGTGAAGATTTGTGTTACTATCACATTTTATCGCCTACATCACATTTTCTTTAATAAAACATGTTACTATATAAGAATGCTTCATGTTATGCACTCTCAGCACACTTCATCAAGCATTTAGTCTCAAAGTTGGGCTTGTAACCCTAACTGAACACAAAAAACTAAGTTGGGCTTTCTGTGATGATCTCCAGAACTCAAACTAAACTTGATCCTTGATTCCTACTAGCATATGTTTATTATGATTGTTGTAAACATTAAAAATAACCTTAATGGGAGGATATTATGAGTTTAGGCTCTAAGTGTTGTCTTTATGCCCCCATTAGTTTTCTTTTTTAGCAATGTTTGTGGATCAACCAAGGATATTTGCGGTCACATTGCCACTGTCATTTGGGGTCAAAGGTTTGGGAACTGCTGATTTTTATCAAGACAGTTTAAATAGGAATGCACTAGGGTTGCGCAATATTGGCAAAGGATTTAATCACGATTAACTGTGGCGTTTAGCTGATGACAAATATTATGACAATCACTGCAGTAATTGCAAAGTGGCCAATATAAATTGTTTATATTAAACGCATATGATGTGATTTTGCCCAACCCTAGTATACAGAGATGCACAAAGTACAGTGAAAAATAGAAAGACTTAATTACACTACTGGTTTTAGCATACATGTACACATATTTACCTCTGTAAGCTCTTTGATGGTATGTATGTTGGCCTGCTGAGTGACTTTCCTCTTTGCTTCCTCAATGTGGTCCAGGTTTAAAGACGGTGCTGGAGGGGCAAGGCTCGGGGGAGGTTTATTAGTGATGGTAGGTAGAGGGGCGAGGGGGGGCATGGCCGCCAGGGCACCCATGTTGGTCAAGGCAGCCGTCATGGTGGCTGCTGTCATACTGGCCACAGCAGCACTCATGGTGATGTTTGACATAGTGGGCATTCCTGGAATAGTGGGCAATCCAAGTGGACCCATGCCAGGCATATTGGGCATTCCCATGCCCATTGGAAGAGGTAAAGGTAAGGGTAATGAAATCGGGGAAGGAGAAGGAGTGGGCAGAGGGAGCTGGAGAATAGCTTTTGGCCTAAGACTTTCAGGAATGGGAACCCCTGCCTTTGCACACATGGCCGCTGCATTGGCCTTGGCTATCTCGAGCAACTGGTCCTTATCTGGACAGCAGAGATGAAAGAGATAGAATGAGATGTCATGAAAAAGAAAATACATACATACTTATTACATGTTACGTTCTTAAATGTTTTACCCAGATCAGTGAGTCGTGGTGGCGTCTTGCTAGGGCTGCGTCGAGTTCGGGAACCTGAGCGTCGCTGCTTGCGAAGAATGACAACTGGAGAATGGCTCGGTTCCCTTTTCCACCTGTCTCGCCTGTCAAAGGAACGGCTGCGAAACGCTGGCCTCCTCCCTCGACCTCGTGACCTCGACCTGCGCCTGCGGTCTGAGGAGCGGGAACGGGATCGTCTGCTTCTATCTCCTGATCTGGACCTTTTCCTCCGGCCTGTGGAGCGGCTCTTGGATCGCTTGTTCCTGTCACCTGACTTGGACCTCCTCCTCCCACGAGCATTAGGTGAGCGGGAACGTCTCTTGCGAACTGGAGAACGGGATTTGGATCGCCGGTTTCGGGTTCGTGATTTGGAGCGCTTACGACGCGTGGCAGAACGGGATCGTGACCGCCGCCTCCGGGCTGGGCTCCGAGATTTGGACCGCCTCTTCTTTCTTTCTGATGGAGAGACAGATTCCCTTTTCCTCACTGGAGACTTTGATCTGAGCAAAAATTAGGAACACAATTAGAAAGTTAATGCAGTGAAACTAAAAGAGGCGAGATGAGAAGACAGTTAAGACACTGAGTTTCTGACGGCTTTGTTTTCTTTCTGCAACGACTCTTTTAAGTATCGAAAACAAATACGATTAGATCCTGTAAATGTTGATAATTTTTTAAATATATATTTTTTCACCCACCAAAACACTACCACTAACCTGGACAACTTTCTTTTGGATGTAGGCTTGGATGTCGAACCAGAACGTTTCCCAGGATCCGCAGGTGAGGGCGACTTAGAAAGCTTCTTCTTTGATAGTTCTGGAGATGCTGAAGCTGAGGAGCTTCTCTGGCTTTTAGACACGGTTTGGACAGGGGGTTCTTCATCTTCTGACTCTTCGGAACCATCTGATCCAGAGGCTGGCTCTTTGGAGGCAGATCTGGAACTGGGAGCATACCAGTTCTTACACTGAACAGGTGGATCCTGCAACTTATCCTGCACATTTTCTGTAGAATTTCCACCTTGGATATTGGTGTCAGTGGCTGAAAGAATTGGTTTCTGATCAGCAGCTAAAAATTAAAGAGAAAAAAAAAGCTTAAATATATGCATTAATTTTGCCATAATTATCTCATTATGCTGAAACATGTAGCACTGATTTATTTTTACCTGCTTCAACTGAATGTCCTCCATTTTCTTCCACTATGTTGGCTTCCGATGTTTCTTCTGTAGCAGGAGGGGAAGACTTCTTCTCTTTGACTGGAGTGTGAGACACAGATCTGGCTGAGGAGGAGCTGTTAGACCTTCCATCACTTGATTCAGACCTGGACCTTGATTTAGATTTGTTTGGTACTGCAGAGATAGATTTAGACTTGGACCTTCTTCCGCTCTTCCTTGGAGATTTGGACCTCCTTTTGCTGTGTTGTGGCGAACGGTGCCTCCGAGACAATGAGCGAGACTTGGAGCGTTTGCTGAACCTCGGTGGAGAGCGATTTCTCCTTGCAGGAGATCTAGAACGTCTTCTAACTGGTGAGCGAGATTTAGACCTCCGGCGAGGAGGAGGGGTTCTGGATTTGGTCTTTTTGCGAGGACTCCTGGATCTGGAGCGACGGGTGCGCTTAAGCGGAACAGGGGACCGTGAACGGGATCGCCTGCTCCGGCGGATTGACCGAGACCGTGAGCGGCGGGATCTGGGGAGGGGTGACCTCCTGCGTCGGGATAAAGACCTGCTTCTGGAGCGCCTGCCTCCTGCACGCCTTCCTGCTGACCGTGATCTGGATCGACCAATGAGACGTCTAGATCTCGAATGGGAGCGCCGAGGTCTAGTGATGGAACGAGACAATGATCGTCTACCCGCACCACCTCGTCTAGGTGACCGGGTTCTTGAGCGCCTTACACCTCCACGAGAACGGGACTTGGATCTTCGTCGTCTTCTTGGAGACCGAGACAGGGAGGGGGACCTTCGAGCACCACGTTTAGGGGATCTGGATACCTTCCTTTTGGGGGAAGGAGAACGCCCGTGTCGCACTGGGGAAACAGACAATGAGCTTCTTCGCCGTTTAGGTGACTTGGACTTCCTTGGAGATCTTGACACTTTCTTTATGGGAGTAACAGAAAGTGAGGCTGATCGGGACCTGCGGGTTGACTTCTTTGGAGACTTGCGGGATGAAGAGAGGAGTTTTTTCTTGGATTTAGGGGACAGCGAGCGAGACTTGGAACGGGAAAGCTGTGGGCTCTTTAGAGGAGATGGAGACGGTCTTCCCTTTGAACTCGACCTGGACTGACTTCTGGACCGTTCTTTCACCGACTCTGTTGGATGACCACCTGACTGCTCCTTACTCAAACTGGGTGATGGTGACCGACTGGGGCCTGATTCTGACTTCTTTACTTCTAAGACCCTTGGTGGAGACGGAGATCTGGCTGAATCGAGCTCTTCGACCTTTACCACTTGGACTGGACTAGTCTGATCTTTCTGGCATGGCTCATCTTTAGGAGCTGTGCCTTCCTGTTTTGGAATAATGTCAGGCAGCTCCTGAGCACAACTGAATGTACCATCACCAGGACTGTTTTCTGTCTTAACTGGAACAGTTTCTGTCAGCGTAATTTCATCTTGGCCAGCAGAGGGTGATCTTTGATCACTTTGTGATTCATTGGCACTACAAACCTTCTCTTCAGCAAAGGAAACATCCATACTGGATATCTCTTCTTTCTTTGCATCAAGCAATTCAGATTTCTGCATTAGGATGGGAGCTACTTGCTCCTCCACTTGTTTGCCCTTTGGAACCAGTTTGGATATTGGTTCTTTGAGGTCAGATCCAGGAGCAGAGGAACACTTGCCATCACCAGCTGTTTTAGCTCCTTCACCTTCTGACTCAGAACCTGAAGCTGAGCTGCTTTCAGATGGAGACCGAGATGGGGACTTCTTTTCCTGCTTTTCATCTTTCTTTTTCTTCTTTTTCTTTTTTTTGGCAGCTTGTTTTTTATGTTTTTTGGATTTTGTGTCTCCCTCTGTTTCTACACAGAAAATAAAGCCAAAGTTAAAATATTTTACCATTTTGTGCGTGCGCGTGTGTCTGTGTGTGTGTGTGTATACTTCTATGGTTACATGTAACTTTAATGTACCTGTAGTTGCTTTTTTCCCCTCCTCTTTCAGTCCAGCATGTTCTGTAAGTCCAGCTGCTGCAGCCAGTCTGGCACTGAAAAACAGAAGCAATCAAAAACTTTTATATATTTAATACACTTTTAAAAAGTTATTAAAAATTGTAAAATTACTTATTTTATGTCTTTAGACATTCTTTCAAAGTAAAAAACAGAAAATGTTGATTTCTTTCTATTCAGTTAAATAATATCAAGACAACAAATGTTGCACAATAATTGGCCAGTAATTCCAGAATAATCACAATGCAGAAATTTATCCAAATTAATGTTTAAAACATTAGACTAGAGTTTTAATATGAGATAAAAAAAAAAATAGAAAAATCTTGTTAAAAAACACATTTATTTTTAAATACTTGAAAAAATTGTGCATTTAGTTCAGACTTGGCATTGTATTCATGTTATTAGGAAAAGTGTTTCCCTGACCTGGCTCTAGTGGTCCTGACAGGTCTCACGGGAGGTGGGGGCTCTACATCAGACTCGGCACCAGATTCTGAACTGCTCTCCTTCTCGCCTTTTCTCTTTCTCTTTTTCTTCTTGCTCTTGTGTTTTTTGTGCTTCTTGTTTTTCTTGTGGGGTTTCTCAGCCCCTTCCTTGGCATTCATGTCATCTTTCTCAGGTGCTTCATCCTCACCTGTTCAGGTAAACCAAAATTTTGGTTAGGTCTTTGAAGGTTCACAGCAAAATCAAAAGAAAATGATCAGGAAACAATGGTCTCCATTCTTCTTCATTAGGAATAAAACAATGAACATATGTGGCCACAAATATAACATTTAAAAACTAATGATTACATTATTAAAAATTCAACAATTATTAAAACTGAATTTGACTACTGTCCAAGCAGCATCTCAGAAGCAAGCAGAAAGAAGAAAAAGGGCAGCAAAGATGTTTCCACTTCTAAAACATCTACCGGTAAGTCAGGGGTGCCCAAATATTTTCCCTGAGAGGGCCAAAATTAAAATCAATCTAAGGGCCGCGGGCCAAATGCAATAATATAAGAAATGCTGAATACTTAAGTAAAGTTGTTTTATTTTTTATGATTAAGCTAGCAGCCAGTGTGGTCGCCCACATTCTTTAGTTCTTTTTTCAGCCCATGGACATGGAGAAAATTCAACGTATGCTCAGGCAGCAAAGGCTCATGGGACTTTTCGTAATTTAAAATTTGAGTACACTGTATATGTGGTCTTATAAGGTGTGCAAATCTAAATATGGGTTTAAATCTAATCTAAATGTCTCTTGTAGTTACTTGTACTTTATATTTAATCTTAACATTATTACAATCTAGTAAACAGGACAACTGCTGGTGGGCCAAATTAAATGGCTTGGCGGGCCAATTTTGGCCCGCAGGTCCCACTTTGGGCACCTCTGATCTAAGTGGTTGCATTTGAATTGCATAAAGGTGCTTGAGGAAAACTATTTGCAGGCTAGTGCAATTTACTCTTCTGAGCAAAGAATACTTGACTACATCGAAGAGCAGGCTGACATCTGTTCAACTGGATGTTTTCATTAATCGAAAATCTAATATTCTTTCAAATGAACCAGTCATATAATCTTAATCTTATGCAAGATAGTTCGAATAGTTTAAGTAAAACAGAGTTGAAAATGTTTTTTTTCCTGTTCTATTCATCACTTACCTGATGGAACATCCACTGCACACTCCATTATGCCAGCAACACAATTTTACAAAAAACACCTGGATGTCTTTGCTGTGTTTCTGTCTCACTCAACACTGGGGAAGAAAAAAAAACAAATATATTGTAATTTAGAGACACAACATCATGAAAACTCCTTATAATACATTTACAGACTCACATACCAACAACAGCAATGTTAAGTTTAACTGACAACTGGTTCTTGAGATTTAATCAAGAGCAAGATAAAGATGTAACTATCCCCACCATCTAAGCCACAAACATTAATTTAAAAACATTTAAAGCAATGGTTGCCACACCAACACAGACCATCAAAAACTGTTGATGATCCATTTAGAGTCGATGGTGTTGAGATTTGTAGAGTCAGCGAGATWAAGKTTTTGGTGTTATCATTGATGAAAAGYGGATATGGACCCTCACATAAATTATTTAAGAACAAATTGGCTAAATCTATTGCATTACTGTACAAAGTAAGGGAGTTATTCAATGATAAAGTTCTGTATGTTGTATAATTCAATGATTGTTCCCCACTAAATTTATTGTATTGAAGTCTGGGATATGGGATATGCTTTACATTAAAGAGCTGTAAGAAAAATCAGTAGAAAACATTAAAGTCACTCATTGAATATATTATTTTGTCAATTGAATTATTGAAGTTGTATGATTTGGTTGATTATATTATTTTATTGATTACATATAGGGCTCATAAAAAACATATCRCCTTTAAAACATTCAATTAAATTCTGTTTAAAAAAGAGAGAGTTGTTACAATCTCAAGGGGGACAGAGATGTTTGTAAAACCTAAATTTAGAACCAGTTTGAAGGAACTGTGTACTTTAATCCAAGGAATAAAATTATAAAACAATCTTGAGAGTGATGTTAAAATGTTAGATCAATATGTGTGTTTAACAGAATGATCAAAGTTGCTTTGTTGAAAAGATATGAAATAATATAATGTGTATCTATACAAATTGTTGCTCGACAAGGAGTTAACTTTTGTTTGTTTTATTTAAATATTATTGTTTGAATCAATTTTTTGCCTTTCATTTTATTTGTGATTTGTATTTCTTATTGTATATAGAATTTGTTCTGTTTTTAAAAAGAAATTAATTGACTTTATTAATAAAACAAATAAATATAAACAAATGGAACCAGTGTCTAACAGAAAAACATGCAATCAGTATTATGTAAATTTTCATTCARGAAAACTCTTTTTAAAACATAAAACACAACTTGCTTACATCGTTTAGTCATATTTACCCTTTAATGTGGGAATGGATTAAACAAATGAGTCATCTTTGAACAAATCTTTCTAAACTAAATCATACATATCTACAAATAGTAAAATAGATAGATAATATTTTCAATACACAACTATAAGTATAGCCACCGTGAGCATAGAACATGCAAGATGACCAGCTATACAAAAACAACAAAGCTAAAAACACAACTTGCTTACATCGTTTAGTCATATTTACCCTTTAATGTGGGAATGGATTAAAC